CCAAACCCTATACAATTTCTATTAAACCCTAAACCCTACCCTAAACCCTAAACCCTGAACCCTGAATCCTGAACCCTAAACCCTAAACCCTAAAACCCTAAACCCAAAACCCAAAACCCTAAACTATCTCTTCGTCAACAGCCCAGTGGCAACAGATTAGGATCCATTGCAATGGCGCCATGGCGCCAGCAGTACATCGAAAATGAAAGGTGCGACAGAGTGGAATCTTGAGCCAGTACTGCACGATTACTTCTGAATTACACCATCGCAAGACTCCTGAAAATCTTCAATGAAGCTACCGTATTCCGGATGTGTTATGCATCACTTCGTTCCTTATGATGGTTATTGAAGAATCTGAGGTCCGGCCCAAGGCCCCTTGCAAAATGAAACTAAACACCTGGGATATTCTGGACACATAGTTCCCATCAACAATGAAGGCACCATCAAACAAAATGATAAGATGCGGTAGCCACGCACAAATCAGCCAACCAAAAAATCCAGGAGGTCTAGGACAAGCGGTCCGGCAAAACGTGCGCAAATGCGACAGCCAAGTTTCACGAGTTCGAGTTTTTTTTAAGTACATGAATATGGTAAAATGTGCACATTCTCAGAGAACCCTTTGGCTATGACGGACAATGGCACGTGCGACCGTACGTCTTTCTGCTGATGCGCTTTTTCGGTTCTCGATAAAACTGCTAATCAAGTGGCTCTCACTTCGACTGGCAAAGAGAGAAAATATTCGTCGAGCGGACCTGCTGACATCTCGAACCTGGCTTAAAGCCAGGACCTGCCAATAAAAACGTTATCTGAATCTATCACCCTGGGCAGCCTGGACGACTCTCTCCTGCATTGACAGACTAGTCAGACTCCAGACTGGCTTCACTGCAAACAAAATCAGCATTGATCCATGCTTCAAGTCCAAGCGGCCCAGAACGTCTTGTGGAACTGAGGCTGAATATCCCACATTAGTGACAAAAACGTGTCTCTCGTCCTGAGAAGTCTTTCGTGGGGTGATGTCCAGCATTCCACGCTTTTGTCAACCGAAGTGGCCTTCAGCAACATGGTGCTGGCTGGAATGGGATCCTCTTTCGCAACAGCAGCAGTCAGCGGTATACAGCGAAATTGCAGAGACTATTGCAGGGTAGGAGAACCTCACAAGCCGGTGCCGTCGGAAAACCATTCCGACCGTTCATTTTCTCTTCCACATATCATGTGGGGAAAAACTGCACTAGGTGCTTGGTCACGTATGCTTGCATCTTTTCTCTGCACGTCTTGACGCTGCAACATGACCAAGCTCACCATGTCAAGTTGCCTGATGTCCAACAGATCGGAGGAGACGGGACAACACCCCTAAATAACCAGTGAAACTCTGACATCCGTTGGTCGCATCACGCAAGTTGGGATTTCAAGCCGCCTCACGTGTTATGCGTCGGCGAGACCTCGAAAGCTGCTTCGCCTTCGGAAGATGTTCAACCAAGAGCAGCCATTCAGCTTGACATGAACGGTGCGGGCAGATTAAGTAAACAGCTGCGCAGGCACTGCAGCACATGCATGTGTCGTTCAACCGTGCCTTGTCTTGCCAACCTCATCCTCAGTCGCGCAGACGTGTCAATTCATGTCGGAGCCATGCATGCGGAAAGGACGCGACACGCCCTTTCAGACTTTCAGTTTTCAATAGCATGTCCTGCGTTTGCGATGTAACTAGCACTATCAGTACTGGCTCCACCGCAACAGGTTATCAGGGTGCTTGAATTTGCTTGTGATTCGTGCTCTTCACCCATGTCACTTGCAGCCGAGTGTCCGAAACGTCAAACAGGCTGAATGCAAATGTTGCAGAGTGGCTCCAGGGCAGCCACACTTTCACGCGTGCGGGGGTGTGAGTGTTGCCATTAGTTCCCACAAAATGGACATAAAACAACACCTGTGATACTACAATCAATTCCAGGTTGAAGTGGGATCTTGAGGCAAGACTCTGGCGGGACGTCAGGTGCCGCTTCTTTCGTTTGCAACAATGCAGCTTGCATTGTATGTTGCAATGTGGGAAAATGCTGTCATGGAGCTCCAGTTCGGGAGCACACCTCATGACATGCCAACACTGCAACTCCATCCATGTCGTCGATGCTCAGCTCAAGCAGAGGCCACTGCACCTGACACTTTCATGAACGCCCTTGCCAGATGCAGTTTGAAGTCGTCCGTCCCAGTCGGGGTACTACATGCAGGTTGCATCTGCTTTAGGTCTTGGAGTATCGTATTCCATCAAGGTGCGGCACCTGCACCGACCCCTCTGAGGACTCTCTGCATTGACCACCGTTGCGATGCAATTGCGAGGGATCCTTTCAAGTCGTTCGTCCCTACAGGTGTCGGCCTGCGCAAGCCTGATACCTTTGCCTAACGGGCGAGCATTGACCTGCCATCAAACACACATTCGACGGGCCGTCGGCATCATGAGCATCGCGAATCATCACGAGTCAAAATGCTGTGAGGCTTTGCACGAAAACACCTGGGGCAGAGCGACTGAAGAGAAATTTGTCAAATGATGCTAACGAAAGACTGCGCAGCAAGCAAGATCTAGCAGAAAGAAGGCGGACCGTTTGGATCGTGAAACCTCAAGTCCAACGGGTTCGATTTCCATTGTTGCACCTAGCACCCAACTTGCCGAAATGCTCGCCAGCCGCATGCAGGACATGCCAGGCATGTCCGCGTCGGGGCGTGGCGCCTCGCCGTCCAGCTTGACCAACACCTGAGCACTGATACCCGATCCAGTTTCTGATGCCGATTCTATGCTCTGATTGGTTGAGACATTGGCACCACCGGTTCAACATAAGGGATGAGAGCAGAATTATCACCACTGCATGGCGTGGGCACGGCATGCTTGCTTGTCCGTCGTATGACTGAGTAGCGAGCGGTTGTAGGAGCACCCTTTGGCCTGTAAATTGAACACATGTCGCAAGCATAACAACGAACAGCTCTCGCTGCATATGTGCATACTACAGACCGCACATCGTCTGCAGGCATCTTAGCCTCCGAAGGCCGAACCACATTGAAGCCAGCGCAGCGAAGGCGCTGCAAACAGTCTTCTCCACCTCGGAGGCCCGAACTGAGGCTTCGGACCTGCATAGCCGCATAGCGGCATAGCCCATCACTGGCGCCTCGCTGGCTCCACGCCCGGCGCCTCAGCTCATCTCAGCTCAGTGCATCCGGTTTCGAACGGTTGCGGCGCCGCAGTTCTACACCTTGAGTTCCGGTTTTCGGAGCTTGCCGAGTACACCAGCCTTTGAGGTCTTGGCTTCATGATGGTGTGAAGTGCACTCTGCACCAACTCGGTGTCCAGCAAGAGCTTCCTGCACGGGCCCTACGCCAGGGAAGAGCTGTGCAACGAGAGGGGCAACGTAGTATGGTTTTCTTCTGGAGCGTCGCATGTGCATGAGTACATGCCCATGCCCAATACACGTTGAGACTTCGACACCGATCATAACAGAGGTCGACTCAACCCAATGCCCGAATGTGCCTGCTCCTCTGGCTTTGCTCTGCTACCTGGTGCCAGCGGCATCCACAAGCTGCAAATGGGAAATTAATGGCACAGAATAAGCAGATATGGAACAAGCAGGCTCTTTCAGCTCCGGGTTTGGATCTGCTTTCTGAGGCAACAGGCAACATGGATGAAGGGCGATGTGAAGGACACCAGGTGCCAATCTTATGAGTGCTGCAAAGCCTCCTGCCTTCGCATAATCTTACCTCCCTACGTGTCAATGCCGAATTCGCAACTCGGAGACTCGGGACGTGTCATATTTTGAAACATTCATAAGCCCGTTTCGCTTCCCAGCGCTCCTGCCACAGCAATGAAACGATGTGCTCGCTCTGCCCGAATCTCGTGGCCTGCAGACTCAGGCAAACAGCCGCTGCGCTATGACACTTTAGCAAGAGCATTTTAGCATAGGTGCAGACTTTCTGTGTTTTTTTGCGTCTGTGGGATTTTGCTTTTGCCGCCGGGGGGGGGGGGGGGGT